TTAATATTAGATCTACAGGACCAGTCAGGGTTATTTTGGATATTCCCTAAACTGAGGTTGAGTGTGGGGTGGTGTTATAACTTGGTGCACATCCACAAATGGGGAAAATGGACCCCTTTGATGGTCTGGTTAAGCCTATGAACCCCTCCTCAGAATGTTTTTAAATGCATAAATAAAATACATAGGATTGTAAAGTAAACCAAAGACAGTGAAAATAAAGATGCATTTTTCCAAGTTCATGGACCCCTATATTTTGTCCATAGACCCCTTGGGGGGGTTGTGGACCCCAGATTAAGAACCCCTGGCTTAGTCTAGCTTCCTTAAAGCACAGCTCAGATCATATTTCCTAAATAGTCCTTTCAGATCTCTCTGCCCCTTGGGTATTAGCATTCTCTCTTCTCTCTCTCTTTGTATATACTTACTTGTGTGCATGTTACATCATGCCAGAAGAACATAAATTCTTTGTTGGCAGGGATTGCTTTAATGTTTGTCTTTGCAGCCTCATGGTCTAACAGAATGGCCTGTACATAATAGATGTATGAGCTGAATTGGATAACCTCACAGAAACCCAAATTTGTAGTATCAGGGTGGGGGGGGGCATCTCTTGCCAACCAAATCTGGAACCTAAAACTTTGCAGCCATTTTGCCACACTTGATAATGGTGCCACACCTTCACTGCAGTGACAAAATGATGCCTTCACTTGGGAACATGTGGTCTCATCCCAAAAGAATCCATTGGTGGTTCTCCAACTGACTTTAGATTCAGCAACTCATATACAAATCACAGGATGGTAGATTTAGAGTTGGAAATTGACTTGAGACCATCTGATCCAACCCACTCATTTTACATGAAAAAACAGAGGCTCAGGAAGGTGAAATAAGTTGGAGCAATCATTCATATGGTTTATAGTTTGCAATTTTGATTACTCATTCATATTCTTTGACCTCTTATCTATTGGGTGAAAAGCACTTCGTCTTTTATAGCTGTGTCATTTCCCTATGTATCTTGCATAGCGGACGTTTATCTGAGATTTTTGATGCAAAGGCTTTTCCACAACCAAGTTCCCTTCATCTGATCTGTGTTGGTTTTGTTCACACAAAAGTTTTTCAATGTCATATAATTAAATTTGTCTATTTTATTTTATCATCTCCTCTATCCCTTGTTTGGTGAAGAATTCTCCCTCCTTGTCATGGCTGTAAGGCACCTCCATCCCTTTTTCTCCATTTCAAAAAAAAAAAAATACCGAGATGGGCAGTATCTCTATTTGCATATTATTGGAACAGAGATTTATAGAGCTTGGAAGGGATTTCAGAAGTTGTCAAGTTCTATCCCTCATTTTACAGAGGAGAAAACTGAGGCCCAGACACAGAACTGACTTTCAAATTGTTAACAGTGAAGAAGTCCTTCAAGGGAAAAAGTATGTGGAGAACTGAGAGCCGAGGGTTTTGGTACACAGAAGTGGAAGACCATTGTCTAAACCATTACTTTTTTACTGAACTGTTTTCCAATTTTCCCATATGTTTTTGGTCAAAAAGAAGACAGCAATACTAGTTAATGAACGTTACTGAATAATACGTTATTGAGTTTGTTTCTGATTCTTATGTAGTCCATTCCACTGATCCACTTTTCCATTTTTTTACCCAATACCAAATCATTTCAACGATTGGTGCTTTATAATATGGTTTAAGGGCTAGAAGAGCTATTCTCCCTTCATTTCTATTTTTTATTCCTTATTTTCCTTATTATTTTCAGGAAATCAGCCTACCATCTTTAATATGTTCTTCTTTACTGGTATAGCAATTATATGCTCTTAATTTACCAACCCACATGGGCACTAGCAGGTAGGGTCCCCACAGCATGGCTAGCTACACATCTCCTGGGACCTATGGGTACCCCTGGGTGGTTGAGATTTCTAAGGCTATGCTTGATCCCCTATTCCAGTGTGTTATCAGTATCAATAGCCATTGATTATTGGCCTAATGTAATTTGCCTTATTGATATTTCTCAATATCATTGGTAAATAATTAACATCCATTCGATTTTGCAAAAGGATATTCACTTATGTTATGAGGTAATGGACAATGAGGGCCTATTCCTGGGAACACGCACATTAGGATCTCAGGAGTAGGGGTTGTGGTGGGTGAACCCACTTCTCAAAGTGTGATGGAGTGAATTGGAGGCGTCCTGCTTCCCGGTTCAGAGAACAGAATTACTTTGTGACCTATCCCCATATTCTGAGTAGGAGGGAGAACTGGGCATTCATACAAAAGACACTAACCATCCAAACTGAGCTCCTTCCTGGAGACAAGGGACGAAAAACAGGCTGTAAACTTCCGGGAGGGGAGAGAGGCCTTGAGCCTGTATTTCCTCACTCAGACCAAAACATGACCTTGAACACCCAGCACTTTTGGTTTTCTAGCTGTGTTGTGTTTCATTCTTTCTTGCTCTTAGGTGAATGAATACAGGAGATGAAGGGGCTAGCTTACAACCTTGTGAGCTTTGAAAGGTCAGAAGGGCAAGACAGTATAGCTTACCATCCTGAGAAAAATCCTATTACATGAATCTCTATTTTATCTCTTTTTATGTACTGCCAAACTTCTGAAAAACTTAGTTGACACCTGCTGAATCCACTTCTTTAACCCCCCTACAAACTGGCTTATCCTCTCATTACTCTACAGATAGGTCAGATAAAAATGTTACTGCTTTTTTAGCCAATGCAAGACTTACCAAAAAGATTGATTTTCAGCATTGCTTTACTGAAACGCCTGCCTACATTCTCCCTAGAAAGCGGCTCACCAAAACTTTGCTTAAATCTCGTACAGTTTAGAGAAAAGGAAGCTTCTTTCAAGTATAAAAATGTCTTTATTCCTTTCATAACAAATTAATCAAAATATCTATGCCATTTCTGGAGTAAGACTGGTTTTCTTTTGGTTTACAAAAAATGCTTACCTCCTTTGGCCTTGATACTTCTATATGCATTCTGCATTATTTCAAGAAGAAATAAACACAAAGACAGGGACATTTTCCTAAGGCCTGTCTCTTCCCAAGGGCAGAGTCTGGTCCTCCAAAAAGGAAAAAATCCACCTACCTTGTAACAGCAACAAGGGCCCACAGAACTGTGGTGCTACAGCCCTGAAGGGGAGGATGTTTCCCCATAACCCAGCAATCACTACTCTGTCATGTTTGGAGAGGATGGGGATTGGCTTTAGTTCTCAAGCAGCCATCATGATGAATTTTTTGTCATCGGCTTTGCTGTGGTTTTTAAAATGTGCATTAAAAAAAGGGGACTGCACCTGTGGTCTACTTCCCAGTTTGTTTTCAGCACTTAGACGGTGTTATTAGATCTCAATGATATTCAATACAGAGGAGCATTGATTCTGGACTAGAGGCGACCCTAGATGTCATCGAGTCTACCCTTCATTTATTTTATAGACAAGGGAACTGAGGCGCAGAAAGGAGTAGTAGCTTGCCCAAGGCCAGACAGGTAGCAAGTGGCCCAGGTCCTGGGACTTCCAAGCCAGTGTTCCGCTTGTCAGCGACCCCTCAGCTCTTTTCCCTGTCCCTTCTTCCTTAGGGGATTTTTTTTTTTCACTGCTACAGGTCAAACTGTAACTTCTACTTGACTGACTCCAGCCCTGAACTCTTCCCTCAACTTCAGTACCTCACACAGAGTCTGTCCAGAGAGGGTGAAAGAAAGACGACAATGAGTCTTGAAATCATGACAAAAGAGGAACAGAAAGACTGGGAATGGCCGCAGGCAGGGGTGACACCTGGTAGTGGTCTCCAAATATGTGAAGGGTCGTCTCATAGAAGAGAGAGGAGACTGGTTCTGTGTGGTTCCTGGAAACACAACCAGAACCGAAGGATAGAAGTAATGAGAAAAAAAAGACAATTCCAGATTAATATAAAAAAGAAATTTAGAAAAATTAGAGACATCCAATAATAGGACAGGATACCTCAAAAGGTAGTGAGTTCCACACAACTGAAAGCATTCATGTAGAAGAACCTTACCATTTTGAAAACCTTCATTTATGTTTATACCCAGGCAAGTTTCTGAGACTGCAGATTATAGACAAGTTGACTATATGTAGGTAGAGATAGTTTTCCTATCAGGGGTTCCTCACATCAATGAAAACACAGGGCTGGACCAAAAAACAAACAAAAAATCTTCTCATTAAGAATCCACATGGCTAGTGCTTGACCTGGAATCAAAGACCTGGGTTCAAATTCTGCCTCTGACACTGACTTAACTGTACAACTATGGGCATCAGTCACTTAACCTCTCCGTGCCTCAGATGACACAGGAAGATTTAACAACAAAATTAATAATGAGGTAGGATCTGGACAAGAGGAGAGAATTCCCACATTGATGACACCATAGGCCCTCAATTTACTTCTCATTAAACGAGGGTTTAACATGCAATGGGGGGGGGTGCCCTAGGATCACAGATTGAGAATTGGAAGGGACATTAAGATATCTGATCCAATCCTCTCATTTTACAGATGAGGAATCAGAGACCAAGAGATAAAGAGTGATTTGACCAAGGACATGCGAGCTAAGCAGGTACTTGATTTGGAATCTGACCCCAGGTGTCCTGATCCTTTTCCCCCACCATGATGTCCCTCCCCAGTTAACTGGAGCCTGTGTGTTTTTTCTACCCACTCTGCTTACCACTCTACCCTCGAATGTAGCACCTGCTTCACCAGCCAGACACGTGACACCAGAAACAGGGAAAGCGTCTGGACCCGAGATTTCATTGTTATAAAGAACTCCTGGCTGTGAAGGAAGTCCTGTTGTCAAGGCAAGCTGGTACCTTTTCTGCACTTAGACACCTTGAGTACTGAGAAATAAATCTCCTTGCTCAGGATCACACAGACATACGTGTCAGAGGTGGGGCCTGAACCCAAGTCCTCTTGGCCCCGGGGCCAGCTCTCTCTCCATTCAGCCACACTAGAGAAGGGTCACAATTACAGTGAGGGAAAGAGCATCCCAAACAAGTCAATCGAAGGAAGTTTATTAGTACTAAGTCCTGATGGCCAATGAGCCACTTCCCAGCAGGTAGTCATCTGAAATGTAACAAGAATTGGACTTCCTTTCCAATAGGTAATAAAAATAACATCATTGATAAAACATTGTGAACATTCCTTCCTGAACAAGGTGCCTTTGCTGATCTTAGTGAGCAGGCCCAGTCCCTTGATCTACTTTCCTGAGAGCACTCTATGGGCTTCCAATATGTCACAATCTTCTTCAGATCACCCTTCCGTGAAATTCCAGACCATCCCCTTCTGCCCAGAGCCACGTTGTGTGACCTCCTTTTTTAGGTCACCTGGGTGAACTCCTGGGTTTCCATCAGGGGGAGTGCAGGTCCTTAAAGGGTAAATGGCTGAACTTAGAAGTATAGATACCTAAATCATGGGAGAGCCAGAAGGGACCTTAGAGATCGCTCAGTCCAACTTCCTCAGTTTACAGATGAGAAAACTGAAGCTCAAGGTCGCATGGCTAGTTAGTGGCAGAACCTGGACTTGAACCCAGATCCTGGGCCTTGTTCTACTCCATTGCATTGATGCTCAATCTCACAAAGTAACTACATAATACTTTTTTGTGTGTTGTCTTCTTTAAAAAAAAAGTTTTTAAAAATATATGGCACTAACGTGTAAAACTATATGACTCCGCAGAATTGGAATTTCCTAATTTCCAGATAATAGCAGCTAAACTTTGCTCTAAATGTACAACTGGTGGGATGCCAGAGTATCCATGAAAGGCCTCACGAGGTTGTCGGTGGAGAAGTAGAAGATGAGACCAAAGGTGATGGAGATGGGCAGGGCAGGCAAGGCCTTCTTGAACACCGCCAGCAGCAGAAGTGTCAAGCACAGACCCTGCGGGAAGGACAGAAGGTGAGGCTGGAGGGGGGCAGGGGAAGCTACAATGCGTGCCTGTGTGTGTGAATGAACGCACACCCCTGGAGAGATTTCAAAGAATGCCTCAGCCCATGGTGAAGCTAAGCCCCCAAAGCATCTAGCACTTGTGGGGTGCATGCCCATCCCCAGGTTCACTGGATTCACTGGATTGTCAACCCTGTGGGGCAAGTGCCGGGAGTGTTATTTTATCCCTCTTTATTATGGGAGGAGAATGAATCACAAAGACATCAAGCTCATACAGCAAGATGAGAATGTGGGTTTCTTGACTCTCTAGTCTAGGGACCTTTCTAGCTAGCATTTAGAGAGCAGTTTAAGAGTTGCAAAATGCTTTACAAATATGGTCTCATTGTATCTTTATGACAAATCTGGGTGGGAGAAGGTAAGTGTTATTATTATCCTCACTTTACAGATGAGAAAACTGAGGCAGAAAGTAGTTACACATCCAGCAAGTGACTGAGGCCAGATTTAAACTTAGGACTTCCTGACTCTAGGTCCAGCGCTCTATCTACTTATACCATAGGACATCCCCTCCCACCCTCCAAGGCAATGAAATGTTAGTATGAGGACACCGTATCTCTAATGCAGTATACATACCTTACAGGAGAATGGCCAATGGTGTCACCAGCTTAAACTATGTGATAATGCTACACATGTGATCTCTGAAAAATCACCCATACAGCAAGGTAATACCTGCAGGGCACTGCAAGTAAGCTCTCTGTGCTTGGTACCATCTTCTTTCTTCTTAAGAAATACTCAAGGACTATCTGAGACCAAGCATTGAGAGGCTGTTGCTGGTATTTCAGCAACTCTTTGCAACACAGCTGGTATGGTACCGTTCAAGTAGATGATTCATAACGGCTTCTGAATGGGAAGGGGGCCACTGAACCCAACCCAGCCATTTGTTAGACACCTGCTATGTATAAGACCCTGGACTTGGAAGCCAGAAGATTTTCGATCTCCCTCCTTGAAGGCCAAGGCTGGACAGCTGCTTGCTGGGCGTGTTATAGTTGGGATTCTTTTTGCATACAGGTCAGACTAGAGGACCACTAAGGCCCCTTTTAATTCTCGAGTTCTGTGATCTCACTTAGGACCTGCCTTTAACATTTACTCCCTGCGTGACCCTGAGTGACTCACAGGACTACTGGGCTTCAGTCTCTTCATCTGTAAAAATGAAGATACTACTACTACTTATTTCACAGGGCTGGGTCAGACAGGCAAGCTATGTCACAGGTAGGTAGGGACAACAGCCAGAAGGGGTCATATGAACTTAAGTGATTGCTCTCCCTGTCATCCCATCTTACTACTTACAATGAGAATGGCAACGAAGCAGGCCAGTGTGGTGTTCCAGTCTCCACTTGCCGTGGCTGCAGCCTTGCCCACAAGAACACTGTAGAAAATGAAATCTCCCAGGCCAAGCTTCACTCCCCCTGTTTGAGGGAAAACAAAACCCACGTCTTGTAAGTCTTGTGGCAACTCCTCATGGAAGGTCAGTGATAAAGGGCGATGGATGAGACTGACTCAGTGTGATGAAAGCTGACTTATCTCAACACTCACTGGACAGCCAGTTCTCTCCGACGATCAGGAACATGGAAAACGGCTCATATCTGAAGTGCTCAGAGAGCCAAAAGCTCACTCTGGCCCATCAACTGTGTCATTGCCCTCCCTCCCCACCAAACACTGAATCACACGTAAGCAACAGCAACAGCTCTGAAACTTGACGATAGCCTCAGAATACCACAATCCAGCCACAATTTTCTGATGGGCAATCCTTCAAAAAATGCCCAGCAGTGAGAGAAGGCAGAGAAACAAAAGGCTAGAAAATCTCACCGCCTGGAAAAATAACTCATTAGGTCTTTGTGGATGGGAAACGGAGCAGCTCAATCTAAGGCTTGTCCTTCAGTAGGCTGGCTGGATCGGGCATGGAAAGAGGCGTTGTTCTGGGCCCAAACTGATGAATGGGATTGGGACTGGATTGGTGATTTTACTGGTACAGGAACTTCCAGGAGAAGAACTCTCTATACTCATGCAGGCCAGCACTTTCTCTGCCAGTAAGTCTAAAGGGGTAAGCCAGGTTACATTAAAAGTAAGTCTGAATTTAAGAATATCTTAAGGAACTGTAATTCATAGCAGAATTACAGTTGCTTTGCTTACATAAAAACTTTCAAGCACATAGAAATTTCCACTGTGAGATCACATGCTGGGTTCAAATTCCAGCTTGCTGCTTCAGGCCTATGTGCCGTTGGACAGGTCTCTAACATTCTCCGGGCCTCAGTTACCTCATCTGTGAACTGAGATTACCGGACCAGATGACTGACAAGATCCCTTCTGGCTCTCAATCTATGATCTCATGGCCTGCTTCAAAAAATCATTAAGGATGATTTGAGTTGAGAACGCCAATTTTTAAAGTGCTTTTCGATTTGTCTGCAAGATTGCGCTTACTACCAGCCACCAGCCTCTGACTCCCAATCACTCTGGTCTCTTAAGAAGCCAAAGGATGAGTTCCCTTGTCTTTCTCTACCCCATCTCCCACAGGCCAATCTCTATTCCAGTGGTGACTGGGCCACACCGTCCCATGAGATTAACATACAATTCAATTCAGTGATTACTGAGCACCTACTATGTGCAGGGGTCTGTGCAAGGCAGTGGGAAAACAAAGATAAAATGAAACAATCCCTGTCCCCGGGGAGCTGGCCACCCATTAGAAGCCAGCACAGCAGGGGCCTCTTAGGAGGCTGCCAATGCAGACTTCCTTTCTAATTTCTAATCTTTCCTTTTTTCCTTTTGGAAGGAAATCACAGTAGCGGGGTGTGGCCACACTCTCTCAAGGGAATTGGTCTCCATCTCCCACCTACCCTTCTTAGCACCCCTCACCCACCAGAAGCAAAGCCTCATGTGGCTAGAGAAAACTAATCCACCTTACTTTCCTCCTCTTCCTCCAGCTCCTCCATTGCACAGGAAGGCACATGGAGTGGGGTACATCTCGGAGAGTCATATGTTTCAGAGTAAGAGTGGTCCCCAGAAGCGTCGCTTGAGTCTTCATCTGTGTTTCCAGGCAGGGAAGAGCAGCAGTGGCGTCCAAAAAAAAAAAAAAAAGAAAAGGATCGAGAGGACACGAGAAGCAGTCAGAAGAATTTTTCATTGCAGAGGAAGAGGCTGACAGCTGGAGAGAAGGAAACTATCCTTCAGGGAAGGGTCCATGGTGGATCAGAACTCGGATTTGAATGGGTCCCTCTCCTCAAGACTGGCACTTCCTTGATGCCATGCCCTTCTCTATCCTCCTCCTGTCCTCCCACCACCCTGGTCAGTTACTTCTCTTTGGCTCAAAGAAAATACTAGTAATAACAAAAATAACTGAAAAGGAAAGGGTCAAAGGGTCGTCTGGGACATCCAAAGGGCGCCGGCAATGGCGGGATGACAACAAAGCCACCCCAGCCTTACCCATGAAAGAAGGAATCTGCTATACTCATTTTACATGTCCCGGAGCTTGCAGGATATTTCACATTTTGATACATATTGGGGTAAATTCTAGGGAGTTATCAGGTCCTAGAATGACACCTCTTCACATCTGAAAATCTCTAGCCTGGACTAATGCTTGTGCTTCAGCAGGATAGAGGGGTCAGGGGTGGAACTAGGAGTCCTGGGACCGTATCAGGGAGTGGACTGGGCCCAGACCTTATTTCATTGGTATTGGGAATTTCCGGGTAAGGACACTCCTACCCACTAGATGTGGGCACCTTTTCTGCAGCTTATTGTCTTGAGAAAGTTCAGAGCACTAAGAGGTTCAGGGACTTGCCCAGGATCCACAACCACTAGTGTCAGAGATGGACTTGAACCGAACACTCTGTCCCCTAACCCATACTGCTTATCCTGCAGCAGTAAGTAACAATGGCCAAGTGCTCACTCAGCTTCCTGCTGCCTCTGGAGTCTCTCCACAGCCACACCAGCTGCCTGACCACCTAAGTGAGGACGACTTGACCTGAGGCCGGCTGCGGAGTCACCACATGGACCACCATAGCCACACTCTTCACTTCGCTCTACTCCTCCCATCCCTGGCTTTCCCGCTCCCCTCGGTTTTGTCTTTCCCTCCTGGAATGCAATCTCCTTGAGAGCAGGAAATAGGCCTGCTTCCTTGTTTTTGAATTCCCAGCACTCAACCCACTGCAGGGCATACAGTGAGCACTCAGCAAACTGTCTAGCGTTCTCTCTCTCTCTCTCTGTCTTGGTCTCTCATGGGCAGAAGGAGGGCCGCCTCTCGCAGCGGCTGTGGGACATCCCCTGGGCCCGTGGGGTCTGCTTCAGAGACACTGACCTTGCTCTTGGTCCTTGGGGACGGCTCCCTTGGTTGGAGTATCCACCTTTGCCATGCCTACAGTCCACACCATGGCAGCTGCAAGAAGAAGACAGGGCATGACCATGGTCATTGTGGCTGCACAGAGTCAGCAAATGGTACTTACCTATTCCTACTGTGCTTAAAGAATGGTTGAGTATTAGAGTACACTGTTTTTAATATGCAAGGTAGCAGAAAAAGCCCTGAATGTGGAGAACAAAGAACAGAGTTTGAGGCCTGGGTCTTGTTACTTGGAGGCTCAAATTTCTTCACTTCTCTGTGGATCAGTTTCCTCATATGTGAAATGGGGGTAATCATGATACTTATTATATTATTTTATTGAAACAATAATATAATATAATTCTTAACAATAACACTGCATTGGCTCTGAGCCTCCTCTCTGATCTCTTCCCTATATATGTGCTTAAAAAGTTTTGTTGCCATAGTTGTTGCTTTTTAAAATGTATTTTATTTTTACGTTTTTGTATTTATTTAGTATTTTATTTTTCCCTAGTTACATGTAAAAACAACAATATTCAGTTTTAAAACTCTGAGTTTCTAATTCTCTCCCTTCCTCTCCCCCCTGCCCTTGACAAGGGATGCAGTTTGATATAGGTTATTCATGTGAAGTCATGCAAAACATGTCCATAATACTCATGCTGTGAAAGAAATCAAAGACAAAAAAATCCTCAAGAAAAATAAAGAAAGCAAAAAAAGTCTGGTTCAATCTGTATTCAGACACTACCAGTTCTTTCTCTGGAGAAGGATAGCATTTTTCATCATAAGTCCTTCAGGGTCGTCTTGGATTGTTATATTGTAAGAATACCTACGTCATTCACAGCGGATCATCTCACAGTATCGCTGTTACTTTGTACACAACACATTTCACTTTGCATCAGCCCATGCAAGACTTTCCAGATTTTTCTGAGAGCATCCTGCTCATCATTTCTTATAGTACAATAGTATTCCATCATAATCACAAAGCACAGCTTGTTTAGTCATTTCCTAATTGATGGGCATCCCCCTCAATTTCTAATTCTTTACCCCCAGAAAAGAGCTGCTACAAATATTTTTGTACGTATGGGTCCTTTTCCTCTTGTTTTTTATCTCTTTTGGGATACAGATCTAGTAGTAGTGTTGCTAGGTCAAAGGGTGTTATAGCCCTTTGGGCACAGTTCCAAATTGCTCTACAGAATGGCTGGATCAGTTCACAACTCCATCAACAATGCATTACTGTCTCATTTTTCCCACTACCCCTTCAACATTTGTCATTTACCTTTTCTGTCCTATTAGACAATCTAATAGGTATAGATAGTACCTCAGAATTGTTTTAATTTGTATTTCTCCAATCAACAGTGAGTTAGAATATTTTTATATGGCTGCAGATAGCTTTGATTACTTCAGCTGAAAACTTATTATATTTTTTGATCATTTATCAATATGGCTCTTAACTAATCAAATGGCTCTTATTTTTATAAATTTGAATCAGTTCTCTATATGTTTGAGAAATGAGGCCTTTATCAGAGAAACTTGCTTCAAAACTTTTTCACAGTTACTATTGCTAACTGTATTTCCCTCATCCTGATCCTTTTACCCTGTGCCATTGTTGCTTTTTAAATAATTCCAGTCAACATCTATGTTCCTATCTTGTTAGGCTCAATTTGGATCATCTGTTTCCATTTTTTTTGGTGTTCTTCACATCTGTCAGTATTTTCTAATTCCATTACATCAATATTGCATCATTTAAATACTCAGAACTCCGCCAAAGGCTGGCCAGGTCTCCCCCTCTATTATTAGTGTGTTGCCTTGACTCTGGCCTAACAACTCTCCTTACAGACTCACAGATCCAAAGTGTTTTAGAGCTAGAACCGACCTCAGACGGGTCCTCTCTCTCCTCCGATCCCTCGTCTGACAGAGGAGGGAACTGAGGCCCAGAGAAGGGAGCTGATTTGGCTTCAGAGTCACAGAACCTGGCTTAAATCCTGACTTGGATGCTTACTGCCTGGGACCTTGCACGAGTCACTGAACCACCTTGGGCTTTGGATTCTTCATCTATAAAACGAGGTAGTTGAGCTAGATGGTCCCCAAGGGCCCTTGTGCTCTTGATCTAAGATAATTTCCTCCCATAAGTCACCATGTAGGGAGGTGTCATGCAAAAACCATACTGGGCTTCTTCTCTACAAGTTCAGCACATGGAAGTTACTGGGTGGCAGATTTCAGCTTAACCTATAAAGGACTCCCTAGCCAAAATGACAGCCAACGACAGAGGGACTTCCTGGTGGGACAGATTACTCCCCATCCCCGCAAGCACAAGCCACAGGGACCTTCCATCACAGAGGCTATGCAAGGAACTTGCGTAGCCTCTGGCCGCTTCTAACTACAAGACTACAATTCCAGTGGAAGAGCATGCTTTCCAACACTCTTCAATGAGCAAAAAAAGGCCAACTCCGCACTGGACGTCAGAGAAAATAGAGACCTACTCCCCTCTCTTTCCCCCACCCTCCCTGACCTTGGAAAGGGGTTCTTTATTATCATTCTGAAAGGAAGGAGAGCCAAGAAGTTGTCATTGGCACTGGCAAAACCAAAAGGGAAAGGGTGTGGAGAGATAACCACACTCACAGGGTTTAAACTGCTCAGCAGGGGCTGAGGCAGGGAGGACTTACATGAATATATGAGGGCAGGAAATATAGGTTCATTTCTTTCCTGAGCAGTTTCTACAAGCATCCTCAAGGGCCCTTTAGGACAGAGCACAGCCACGAGATCTGTGAAAACCAAGACGTCTTTGTCAGGGAAAAGCAGCCATCATTCTCAAGCAGATCCCAGGAACTTGTTTCACTCCTGCTCTTAGAAATGGGTAGCTGGGCTTCCCTCGCCCCTGACCAAGGAGAAGAAATGGAGAATTGGGAGTGCTGGTGTCCTCATTCATCCTTGGTTTTCAGCCCCTATTTGGAGCTTACCCATTGCTGAACAGGTTTCTGCCCTAACCTACGGTGTGTGCCCAAGAACCAGCAACAGGTTGGAATCTAAAGCAGGTCTGAAAGAGCCAATTTTAAGAAAAGATAACAAAGTATTATGTGACTTGTACTTCCTTTTTTTTTTTTTTTTTTTTTTTTTTTTTTTGCGAGGCAACTGGGCTTAAGTGACTTGCCTACGGTCACACAGCTAGTAAGTGTCAAGTGTCTGGTCTGAGACTGGATTTGAACTGAGGTCTTCCTGACTCCAGGGCCGGTGCTCTACCCACAGTGCCACCTAGCTGCCCCCTCTACTATCCTTTTTGAAGGAAAGTCACTTTCGGGTGAAGAATCTCCCTTTTTGGTTTCATAAAATTCAATCCAACATGTACATATTAAATGCCTACAGTATACCAGGAACTGGGCCCACAGTGCCAGTCATAAAGACAGAAATGAAATAGTCCCTGCCCTCAAGGAGCTTACATTCTTCAGGAGGAAGATAATTAAAAGACTAACTGGAGGGGGCTGTGGATAGAGTACCAGCCCTGGAGTCAGGAGGACCTGAGTTCAAATCCGGCCTCAGACATTTGATACTTACTAGTTGTGTGACCCTAGCAAAGTCACTTAACCCCATTGGCTAGCAAAGAACAAAAACCAAAAAAAAAACTAACTGGAATTACTCAATCAATAAGCATTTATTCAGCACCTCATATACCAGACACTGTAGTAAGTCCTAAGTATACAAGTGACAGTCCCTGCCCTCAAGGATCTGACTATCTAGTGGGTAAAGTGGTAGGATTTGACCCTTATTGTCTGGCATGCAAGATAAGCACCCCACATCAGACCACCCCTGCCCATGGCTGTCCTACCATACACAGAGATGGCTCCCAGGATGACCCAGGCTGACCATTCTGGGAGGTACTTGATGAAGACCAAGGCCATGAGAGCACTGATCATGATGAGGTAGGCCTGCTGCAGCACCAAGGGGCCCTTCCAGTGGATACAGATCATTCCCACTGCCCCAAAGTTCCAGATGACCAAGAAAAGGGTTGGGTAGTCCATAGCCACATTGTAAGTCTTAAGCACTTCCCTGAAAAGCAAGACCGGCAGATGAGGGGATGTCATTGGAAACGGGAAAAAAACACTGACTCCACAGTCACTTTCAGCTAATTAGAGGTTCAAATCCTGCCTCAGATGCTTATTCACTATGTGACCCTGGGAAGACACTCACCTTCTCTGAGACTTGACTTCTGTGGCTATAAAAGGAGAGTAAATAACAACATCTTCCCTATAACAAAAACCCTATAGAATTTCTGTAAGGATCAAATGAGATAATCTATGTAAAATGCTTCACGAAGCTTAAAATGCGATGTCAATTACTATTATTATTAATAGCATCCTTTTCCTCCTCTGTGGAATGTTACAGTTACTTCAGTGGCCCCATGAACATTCCCGCCCCCCCCTGGCCCCGCCCCCAACACACACTATGGACTGTTAGAGATATTTCACTGGCCACACACACACTCTCTCATGGAATGTCACCTCCAATCCTAATAGCTAGATGCACTTTCCCCCCAACTCCTACAAATGCCCAGGCAGAAAGAGCAGACTTTTAGAGTTGTAAGGCCTGGCCTTATCTCCCAGCTTCTCCACTTAAAATCTGAATGACCTAAGGCAAGTCTAACTTCCTTGGGCTTCAATTTTCCAGTCTGCAGAATCAGGAAATTGTACTGTGATCTCCAAGGTTGCTAAGATCTCCATGATCTTATATGTTCAAATAAGTTCCCACCCCCACCCCAAAACATATTTCCATGAAGAGGGATCCTGTTCCATTTATTTTAAGTCTACTACTTGATTTATTTTAGAATTTCATTTTAAATTTCCTTTAGACCAGGAGATCTTAACCTTTTTGTGCCATGGACCCCCTTCATGAAATCGGGTGACACCTATGGACGACCCCTTCTCAGAATGATGATTTTAAAAACATAAAGTAAAATACACAGGATTCAAAAGGTCACCAATTGTTTTGGTTATCAAAATATTTTAAAAAACAAGTTCATGGACCCCAGGTTAAGAATCCCTGCTTTAGACACTTCAATTTTACTCATCAGCCCAGCAATAAACGTGAGTACTAGCTACCCATGTCCCCAAAAGCACTGGGAAACTTTCCTTCCTTCCCTGTCTTTCTTAGATTCCTTAAGAATCTGGAATAAGAGGATGTCCCAAAGCAGGCTACAACATCCCAAATCAATCATTTTCTAAATTTGGAATTTATGCTAAAGTTTTTAGGCTAAAGAATAAAACAAATAAGAAGGGTTTTCCATCCAACATCCAACTACTATCTAATTTGGAGTTGGAGGGCCTTGGTCTGAAGCCCTCTCTACGACTTACTATCTAATGCAACCATGGGACAGTCACAACTTCTCTGTGCCTCCGTTTCCTCATCTATAAAATAAGGTTTGATCTAATGGTCTCCCTCTGAGGTCCCTTCCATTTCCCAATACACAATCCCCTAATCAAGTTTATAGTCAAGTGTCAACTTGTTTTTAAATTTGTGGACTGGACCTGGGTTTTCACTGCTTGAGGGGAGAAGCCCCTTGCACCAACACAGGTCGGTACCCGCTCTATAGCTAGTCCTGGAGAACTGCCTGCAGCACTGAGAGCTTGACTTGCTCAGGTCATGCAGCAAGGAGGTGTCGGAGGAAGGACTCAAATCCAAGTCTCCTCGATTCCAAGGCCAGCACTGCATTTACTATGCCATGTTGCCTTTCCCTCCATGGTATTTTTACAGGGGACTGAAAACACAGCCGATCGAGGTAGACCATATTATATTCACAAGGAAATGTGTGGAGAACTTACCTGGGCCCAGCTCAGTGCCTGGCACATAGTAGGTGCTTAATAAACATCTATTGATTGTTCTGGCACCAGTGAGAAGGCAATCCTCGTCCCTCTTGTTCCTATAGTATCCCATTGCTAAATACCTTTTTTGTCCCTCGCTGAAGTGTATTTCAAAGAGCAACAGAGCCTTGGAATCAGAAGAAATGGATCCATGTTCTGGCTCTGACCATGTACCTCTCGAACCCCCAGCTGCATGACTATGGGCAAGCCTCCCAACCTCTCTGTGCCTCAGATTTCTAATTTGTAAAATGGGAAAACTACTGCTACATACACCTGCAGGGTTGTTGTGAGGAAAGACGGATGGCCATCCTCTTCTCTGACCTGTGCTCCCTTTCACGCCCTCCACGTCGGGGAGCAGGGTGGATGAAATGTTGCCTGGAACAATCACAGACCCTGGGGCAGACACTTACCCAAGATAAATGTAGGTGAAGAGGAAGAGCAGCATCAGAGAAGACAGGATCAACCAGCCGTGAATAAACTAGACAACAGAAACACAAGTTTACACAAGGAAAGTTCTTGGTTTGCTCGCTGTTTCAGACAGAACCGCTGGGCTTATCAGCAGTAGCGAGGGTGCTGCTGCTCCAGTCAACACTGGGGCAACAGTGCACGTAGCTGATGTCCGTACTGCCACGATGCCACCTTAGAACAAGATGAATCTGAGCAGTAAAAATGAGGAGCCCCACGACCTGCCCCACAGGCACACACTACTTCTGTTTCCAAAAGTTTTCACGTCAACAAATGGCTTCATTATAGTACCTACAGCGGATACTATATGGCTTCAAAGTTTACAAAGAGATTGGACATCTCCAATCCTATTCCATTCTCTCTAATTCCTTGTGTTTTTACCACCTGCTGTTCGGCCTTTGTGCTCTAAGGACAATGGGACCTTTACATCTGATGGGCAGCTGAAACCTCCGTTTCCATCATTTGCCTCCATTAGAATGTGAGCTCCTTAAGAGCAAGAAACATCTGATTTTTCTTTCTTTTCTTTTTTTAATTTAATTTTTAATTAATTTATTTTGAATTATCAACAATCACTTCCATAAGCTTTTGAGTTTAAAATTTTTCTCCCCCTCCCTCCCCAAGATGGCACCCAATCTGATATAGGCTATACACATACATTCCTATTAAACTTATTTTCACATTAGTGATGTTGTAAGTAAGAATTAGAGCCAAAAGAAGGAACCACCAGAAAGAGGAAACAAAACATAACAGAAGAAAAAAAAACAGCAAATAGTATACTTCAATCTGCATTCAAACTCCATAGTTCTTTCTTCTTTGTGGACAGCATTTTCCATCATGAGGCCTTTGGAGATGTCTTAGATCTCTGTACTGCTGAGAAGGGTTAAATCTATCAATATTTGTCATTACACAATGTGGCTGTTACTGTGTATAATGTTCTCGTGGTTCTGCTCACTTCACTCAGCATCAGACCATACAAGTCTTTCCAGGTTTTTCTGCAGTCTGCCTGTTCATCATTTCTTATAGCACAACAGTATTCCATTACATTTATATACCACAATTTGTTCAGCCATTCCCTAATTGATGGGCATTCTCTCAATTTCCAATTCTTTGCTACCACAGAAAAGAGCTGCTATAAATATTTTTGTACATGTGGGTCCTTTTCCCGTTTATGCGATCTCGCTGGGATACAGCCCTAGAAGTGCTATTGCTTGGTCAAAGGGTATGAACATTTTTATAGCCCTTTAGGCATAGTTTCAAATTACTCTCCAAAATGGTTGGATCATTTCACAACTCTACCAACAATGCATTAGTGTTCCAATTTTCCCACATCTTCTCCAACATTTTTCATTTTCCTGTTTTGTCATGTTGGCCAATCTGATAGGTATGATGTGGTACCTCAGAGTTGTTTTGATTTGCATTTCTCTAATCGATAGTGATTTAGAGCATTTTTTCATATGACTATAGATGGCTTTAATTTCTTCATCTGAGAACTGCCTGTTCATATCCTTTGACCATTTATCAATTGGGGAATGACATGTATTCTTAAAATTTGACTTAATTCTCTATATGTTTTAGAAATGAGGCCCTTATCAGAGAAACTGGTGGTAAAAATTCTTTCCCAATTTCCTACCTTCCTTCTAATCTTGGTTGCATTGGCTTTATTTGTGCAAAAACTTTTCAATTTAATGTAATCAAAGTTATACATTTTGCTTTTCATAATGTTCTCTGTCTCCTGTTTGGTCATGAATTCTTCTGTTCTCCATAAATCTGATAGGTAAACTATTCCTTGCTCTCCCAATTTGCTTACAGTATCAGCCTTTATATCTAAATCATGAACCCATTTTGACTTTATTTTGGTATATGGTGTGAGATTTTGATCTATGCCAAGTTTCTGTCACACTCTTTTCCAGTTTTCCCAGCAGTTTTTGTCGAAGAGTGGGTTCTTATCCCAGAAGCTGGAGTCTTTGGGTTTATCAAATAATAGGTTACTATAGTCACTGACTACTGTGTCTTGCATTATGTGTGATTTTTCTCTCTGTACATGCAGTGCTTAGCACAGTACTTTGCACATAATAAGTACTTAATAAATGTTTCATTCATTAATGCATACATAACTGTGGCTGGACCAGTGGTGGGCACTAGTGTGGAATGGCAGAAAGAATGCTGCATTTGGAGTTAGAGGACCTGGGTTTGAATCCTGTTTCTGTTACAACCTATGCAACTGTCGGCAAGTCTATAGAGCTCTGGGTCTCAGTTTCCTCATTTGTAAACTGCAAACAATTGTTCTGCAATCCTGGGGCATTAAGGTTAAATGACTTGCCCAGGGTCAACGACAGGTGAGACATGAAGGCTGCCTCTGGGTTTGTCACTACACACAAGTGTCCATAGCATAACCCAAAAGTGAGGGAGGCATTCAGCAAGGCGAGAACCCTCACATCAAACTCTCCAAAGCACACAGACAAGAACTGCTTAGGATGGGCAGGTATAGATGGGTTTTGGTGTGTGGAACTCCCAAATTGATGAGATATCAGATTGATGTGGACATATGAGTAAGTATATACAATATTTAATAATACATATACTCTCTAAATATACATATATACAATATATAAAAATGTATATTGTATGTCCCCAAAACACACATACACATAGTGCACATATGAGACACATATACACACTGTATAAACTATATGAGACAAATACATATGTTCACACATACATCACATACATGCAAAACAGGTATGTACAAATCAAGCAGCCTGGAAGGCCACAGTTGGACAAAAAGCAATATTGGCTCCCAGAGCTTCAGTGCTGATTCAGAACAAAGCCACGAGCAAGCCCCCGGCTGACCTCCTGACCGGCAAGGGATCCCCACCACCACTCACCTTGTAGCAGCGATACTTGTACAGCACAACCAGGAATATTGTCATCACAACAATGACACTGATCATGATGAGGGTGTTTAGCACCGAGTTGAGCAAGCGCTGACCGATAGAGGGGGTATCTTCTGTAAAGGGTGTATAGATTCTGAAGGGAAAGAGAAAGAATGACCCATTACCCACATTCTCCCTTTCAAATCTTTCTACATCTAATGTTTTCCCCTCCACCATTTGGACTCTCTCTCTCTCACCCATCTTCTTCCCCTATTTCTCCATGCCCTTGTCTGACCACGTGCCCACCATCTACAGTCAGGCTTTGTCATTTTGCAACTTCAGATTTCAGTCTGTTGGCAGGCTCTAATCTAGCAGGAGAGGGAGAGATGGGATGGCCTTGTCAAAGTCTTCTTGTTAGCTAAGGCTGAAACTCAGACTGAAGTTTCTTTAAATATGTATGTTTTAGAGATAAGAGCACTGTCCTGGGCTCTAATCTCTGCCCTACTGTTACTTTTCTTTGTGACCTTGGGGAAATAATTTAACCTCTGGGCCTCAGTTTCCTCACATGTAAAACAAAGAAACTGGGTTAGATCAGAGGTGTCAGACTGTTGGGAACAGATTAAAATGTAATTAGGAAATATTTAATAAAACAAATACAAATACAATAGAACATAAATAACGTCAATATGCCACCTGCAGGTACAATTTAGTGATCCAGTTTCTATTTTGAGCTGGACACCACTGGGCTAGATGCCTTCTGAGGGCTTTTCCAGTTCTAACAGTTTTTCTCTCGCCACATTGAGGCCTACAAATCTATTCGGTCCATTTATCTTCATTCTGGCCCCCCTCCCCATACTCTACATATTAAGCCTACACAGCCCTAAATCATTCCTTTACTTTTCACTACCCTTAACACTCACTAGCTACGTTAACTTACATTTGTTTGGTAAGCGCTCTCGAATCTTCTCACCCTCCCTGACCACACTGTCACTTATAGAAGGCAGGGGCCGTGCCTTTTGATAGGTTGATTTTTATTTTCCTCGCAGGCCCTGGTATAATGTGCTTGCTGTACCCCTCAGGCAATGAGCAGTAATCAAAGGACCACAGATTTAGAGCTAGAAGAGCCCTTAGAGGACATGGAGTCCAACTCCTTCCTTTTATAAATGAGGAAACTGAGGCTGAGAAAGTGAGTGACATCGTCTAGGGTCACAAAGCCACAGTTAAGTGTATGAAGTAGGATTTGAACTCGGGTCTTCCTGACTCCAAGTCCAGTGGCCCAAAGGTGCCACCTAATTGCCTCAATGAATACTGCGTGTGCGCGCACACCCACCCACCCACCCACACACACATTTCGCTAGCCTGGGTATGCCGTACACAGGGGCGGACTCACAGCTGTCCATTCTTCTCCGTGTAGAAGCGGACAGACTTGATGGTTGCCACGACGACCACCATGCAGAGGGTGACCGGCACAAAGAGCATGATCACATGCTTCGCCCCGTACTTGAGCGTCAGCTCCTCCTCCTCTTCGTCCTCCTCCAGGCTGCTGCTTCTCGATGAGCCCCTGCTGTCGGGGGTACACTGGTCAGCACCGCCATGGTTACCCAGGCTGCCTCGGCGTTTCTGCAGGAGGGCGACAGGCACCGTCAATGGCAGCCTCGGATCCCTCCCCCGGCGGGTGGGCACTGAAGAACGGGGCCCAAGGAGCATGAGGAGAGTCCTTTCTTTTTGTTAAAAACAACAACATGTGTGTTCCCATTCTATCCTCGTGACTGATGGAGAGATGCTGGGAATACAAGGTCCCGCTGTGCATACTGCACGTCAGTTCACAAGTATCACTGACAATGTCCTGCGGGCTGGGGATGGAGAGAAAAGCGGAGAACACGGTCCTTCCTTCAAGGAGCACACATTCTAATGCTGGAGACAACATGTAAACAACAGTGACACAGAAGACGTAGCCAACGAGTGGATGATTTGCTGATTATTAAAAAAGGCACTTGATTAGGCAGAGTAAAAAAACCACCTTAATGACTCTCCTTCAACAAGGTGCCTCCTGTGCTTAAAATCATACAAGATTCCTTGAACTATCTACCAAAAGCAACTTTGTTCGATGACTCTTTGATTATTAATGTCGAGAGGGACATAAAGCACAGAGACCTATGCTGGCCAAACGTGCAGGCCTCTGTCAGGGAGGTGGTCCAGCACAGAGTGCAGATGAAAGAAGGAGTCGTTAGAGATGGTAAAGCTCTCAAGATGTAATCTATTCTGACTCCTCATAGACATTTTTTTAAACTTAATTTTGGGTTCCTGGTCATGTTTCACCAAAGTTCTAGTTAACTGAGGCGTTAACATGGCACAACCAGAGGTCAAGGGGAACCTTTAGCTTGTTCAAATACCACAGAATGTTGGGGCTGGAAGGCAGCTCACCTAGTCCAGGGGTTCTGAACTTGGGGTCTATGAGCAGACAGACCAAGAGGACGGGTGCTTCAAAGCAAGGAAGGTCAATTTGCTTGATGGGCAGATTCCCCAAGGGAAACTGAGCTGCTAGTGGGGATACTGGGATCCCTCCTTCCCCATTTCTCCCGGCTCTAAGACCCTTCCCTCCCCACCCTCACAGCAACAGAATCTTTCTTTGTGAGTTCAGGCAAAACTTATCAGCGGCCCTCAGCTCACAAGGGAAGGAAACTGTGTCTTCTTGATAGACACATTTAGCAACCTTACTCATGGAACTGAAGATGATGTGGTTCCCTCTGGCAGATGGACAACATTAAAGCGACATCAGTGGAAGAGTTCATATTGTTACTCCAGCGTTGTAACGGAAGGAAGGGAGCAAGCACTTACTATGCACTTACTATGTGCTAAGTGTTATTGTCTCCTATGATCCTTGCAACAACCTTGGGAGGTAGGTGTGATAACAATCCTCATTTTACAGATGAAGACAGTGAGGCAGATCCACATCCAAAGAACATACTATGGAGTCTGAATGCTGATCGAAACCCACTATTTGCTATTTTTTTTTCTTCTGTTGAGTTTTGTTTCCTCTTTCTGGTGGTTCCTCCTACTGGTTCTAATTCTTACCTACAACATCACTAATGTGAAAATATGTTTAATAGAAATGTATTATGTATAGCCTATATCAGATTGTGCGCTGTCTTAGGGAAGAAGGTGGGGAGGGAGGGGGAGAAAAATTTAAAACTCAAAAGCTTATGGAAGTGACTGTTGATAAATCAAAAGAAATTCATAAAAAAATCTAAAAAAAAAAGAAAAAGAAAAAGAAAGTGAGGCAGACAGAGCTTAAGTGACTTGCCCAGGGTCACAAAGCTCCTTAGTGTCTGAGGCTGGATTTGAACTCAGGTCTTCCTGACTCTAGGCCTGGCACTGTATCCACTTTGCCACCTATCTGTCCCTGAGGTGCTATTTTTGTCACCATTTTACCCATGAGGAAGTTGAGACTGAGAGAGAAGTTAAATAATGTGCTCAGGATCACACAATATGCACCGTGTATCTACAGAGGTGTCTGTGTGCTGTCTCCCCCACTAGAATGTGAGCTCCTTTAGGATGGGACCATGTAATTACCTCTCTTTGTATCCTCAGGGATGAGCATAGTCCTTGGCTAAAGAACTCTTTTAAAACAAATAACTAGTAATTGCCCCATGCTCGATCTGAAGAGCTACATAACAAAACATTTCATTATTGCAGAGTCTGGTTTCCAACTAGTCTTGGTCAGAGATGGAATCTGAACTCAGGGTTAGTCATGATTCCAAGTTCATTGCTCTATACAATCAATTCATCAACAATGTTTAATAAGTGTCTACTGTGGGCCAGGCACTGTACTATGTGCTGGGGAGCCAAAAGCAAAAGTGAAACTACAGTACAGTGGAAAATAGACTGGCTCTAAAGTCAGAGGAGCTGGGTTCAAATCCCACATCTGATGCTTACGACCTCCATTTCCTTATCTATAAAGTGAGGGGCCTGGACCAGATGGCCTTGTGGCTCTAGGTCTGTGTCTTCAAGAAGCTTATATTTTATAGGGAACAAACAACACATACAAACATAAACAAAGACAAAATATATACCAACTAAAAGCTGTCTCAGTGAATGGAATAATGATGAGAAAAGCAAAAAATATACATGTGTGTATATATATATATATATACACACACACATACACACACATATATATCTATGATTTATGAAAAGTATGAATTAGTCGTTTTAAAATAGCTAAAACACGTGTTAGACGATTTTGTTACCTTCAGACATGGCACATTTTACACTACCTGGCACTGCAATGTAAAATTGGGTCAACTAATAGTAAAAGGAATTTAATTTATCCAGTCTGTAATAGGCCTACATTGTACAAAAGCTTATTGTACACATGAAAGTGTATTAACATTTAACAATTAATTCCTGGACCTAGAAACTGTTATTTTAAAAGAATTCTTTAATTCTTTAGCTGGGGCTGTGTTAAGTCCTAGGGTATTAAAGAAAGGCAGGCCCAGCTCTAAAGGAGTTCCCATTCTAATGGGAGAGACAGCACCCAAACAACTACATGCAAATGAGATCCATATAATGTTAATGGAAGATAATTTCAGAGGGACAGAAGAGTGGGGAGGTGGGAGGAAGGAAGGACCAGGACCAGGACAGGCCTCCAGCAGAAGGCAGGTGAGCTCAGTCTTGAAGGAAGCCAAGAAAGACAGGAGTAGGAGATAAGGAGGCAGGGCCTTCCAAACATGGGGGACAGCCAGTGAAAAGGCACAGAATGCTATATGTTTGGAACAGCAAGGACGGTATTGTGGGATTGTAGCATAGATGTAGGGTATCAAGTGTAAGAAGACTGGAAAGGTAGGAAAGGGGATGTTCTAATGATCCTAGAGGTAAGAGGGGGCAGACCTGTGCTTTAGGAAGACAGATAATTCTGACAGCTGAATGAAGGATGCACCAGAGTTGAGAAAGACTTTGAAGCAGGAAGTCCAACCAGAAAGCTACTACAACAGTCCAGGTGAAGAAAGCCCAGCCCAGGGTACTGGTGAAGAAGGGAGATGTTGTTACCCTCTGACCAGCAACAACACTTCTAGGTCTATATCCCGAAGAGATCATAAAAATGGGAAAAGGACCCACATATACAAAAATATTTATAGCAGTTCTTTTTGGGGTGGCCAAGAATTGGAAATTGAAGGGGTGCCCATCAATAGGGGAATGGCTGAACAAGTTGTGGTATATGAATGTAATGGAATACTATTGTGCCATAAGAAATGATGAGCGGGCTGACTTCAGAAAAACCTGGAAAGACTTGTATGGACTGATGCTGAGTGAAGTAAGCAGAACCAGGAGAACATTGTACACAGTAACAGCCACGTTGTGCGATGACTGACCTTGACAGACTTAGCCCTTCTCAGCAATGCAAGGATCTAAGACATCTCCATAAGACTCATGATGGAAAATGCTATCTACATCCAGAGAAAGAACTATGGAGTCCGAATGCAGATCGAAGCACACGATTTGCTCTTTTTTTTTTTTTCTGTTTTGTTTCTTCTTTTTTTGGGTTCCTCCCATTCGTTCTAATTCTTCTTTACAACATGACTAGTGTGAAAATATGTTTAATAAGAATGTAGATGTAGAGTTTATATCAGATTGCATGCTGTCTAGGGGAGGAGAGAAAATTTAAAACTCAAAAGCTTATGGAAGTGAATGTTGAAAACTAAAACTTAACAAATTTAAAAATTAAAATAAAAAGAATGGAGATGTCATGAGGTTGGAAACAATGAAGCTTGGCACTGCACTGACTATGGAGGGTGAGTGACAGTGAGGAGCCTAGATGGACACCAAGGTTTTGAGGCTGGGCCACTGAGAGGACAGTGGTGGCCTTGGGAAACTGGAAAGAAGGGAAGGTTTTGGGGAAAGATAATGAGTTCTGATTTTGGACAGGTCAAGTTTGAAATGCCCACTGGACATCCGATTTGAGGTGTCCAAGAGGTAAGGTGAGACTAGAGGTCAGGAGGGAGGTTAAGGTTAGGTAAACAGATCTGAAAATCGTCTTCAAAGAAACGATAACTGAACCCAAGGAGGTGATGAGATCACAGAGAAACTATGTAGAGGGAAAAGAAAAAGGGTCCAGGATAGACTCTTAGGAATCGTCCATAGCTGGTAGGCATGACCCTAAGATCCAATGCCTACTGGATAGTTCAAACTAGAAGTCCTAGAGACATCTCAGACTTAACACTCATCATCTATGTAGCATGGTGGATAGAGTGTCAGTCATAGTGGACTTGGGTGTCAGAATCCTGCCTCAATTACTAGTTTCATGACCTAGGCAAGTCTCTTAACTGCTCTGTGCCTCAGTTTCCTCATCTGTAAAATAAAGAGGCTGGACTTGATGGCCTCTAAAACGTCTTCCAGTTCTAAATCTATGCTCCCATGACCTTTCCTCTCAAACCCACTCGTCTACTAAACTTTCCTATTTCTGTCCTCTGGGTTCCCAAATTTACCCTCACAGTTATCTTTAATTACTCATTCTTTCTCCTCTGACATATCCAACCAGTTGCCAAACCAGGCTGTTTCTGTCATTACCATACATGCTACATTTCTCTACTCACACAGCCACCATGTTCAATCATGCTTGCACTGACTTTCACTTAGGTCCATTACAATAGTCACCTGATTTGTCTCCTTGCCTCAAGGTTCTCTCTTTCCAATACATGCTTTATACAGCTGCCAAACTGATATTTCTAAAGGACAGGTCTGATTATGTCTTTCCCTCATCAGTAAAATCCAGTGGCTCCTTATCACTTCTCAGATCAAACACAAACACTAGGCAAGTCATTTAGCCTCTGACGGCCTCAGTTTCCTCAACCATAAAATAAGGATAATAACAGCACCCACCTCCCAGGGTTGTTTTAAGGACCAAATGAGATACTATTTGTAAAGAGCTTAATACAGTTCCTGGAATAAAGCAAGGCTTAATTAAATAAGATATCTATATCTATATCTATATCTATATATCTACACACACACATATACATACACACATACACACACACACACACACACATATAATGTAAATGGAAGGTAATCTCAGAGGGAGAAAGGGATAGTTAGGCATAGTAGTATGTGTTCCCTTCCCCCTCTTCCCCTTTAAAATCTTTTGCAACCTGGCCCCAAGCTATCTTTCCAGCCTTGTTAAACATCACTTCCCTTCCTGACTTTATGATCCAATTAACAATCCATCCTGTTGTTTCTCACGTTATCACATTCCATCTCCTGTCTCCACATATATTTGCACTGGCTGGCCATTCCACCCACCTGGAATGTAGTCCTTCCTCACCTCTGCCTCATAGAATTCCCCATTTTCCTCTGCCTGAAGCCTTTTCTGATGCCCCCAACTGCTAGAGTCCTCCCTCCTGAACAATCTCATATTCCATTTGTGTATGTACATGTTGTCTACTGCTACATAGAAAACATAAGTTCCCTTAGAGTAGAAAGCATTCCATTTTTTGACTTTGCTGAAAAATGCACTGTGCTTGGCTTACAGCAGGCTCTTAGTAATGCTTGTGCTATCTCTGTCACAATTGTGCTTCATGGGCAAGCCCAGGGCAAAAAGGTGGGATTCTGTAAACAGGCAGCTAGAAAAAGACCAAGTGGGGACCCTGATGGATGCAAGAATTTCCATATTTCAGCTGCAGTCACACAAGCATGTTAGCCGTCTACTTCATTTTATTAACAGCCTGAAACCAGAGCCAAGTAAAAGAGAGGGAGAAAGCCTTTTGCAGCTCAAGTATCATTCTTTTCCAGACCACATTCCAATCTAAATATTTAGAGGAAGAGGAGGAAGAAAGAGGCAAAGAGTCGATGAACAGGAAGAGAGAAAATCTAAAATCCACAGGCATTTAAAAAAATAAAGGTTAAAGAAATTGGGATAATTTAACCTGGCAAGAGAAGGCCAAAGGGTGACTTGAGTCGTCATACAAAGTCCAACGCATTCAATGCAGTTCTCTATGTCCACTGAGAACCAATGGAAAAATAAAGCAGAGGAGCAGGAGAGGCCAGACCATTTAAAAAAATTCAATGAAATTTAACAAGCATTTGTTAGGTGCCTGTAACAAGCTGGGCTGCAGGGTTAAGAATGTTGGGGAAACAATCAGTATATAGGTAAGTCAATATATCAGTAGTTTGCTGGGCAGCCCCTGGAGAAGGCAGCACTAAAGGAAAGTAGGGATTCTGAGAGGCAGAGCGGGGGAGGGAGAGCATTCTTGACATGAGGTTCTAGTATAGAGGCAGGAGGTGGGGAGTAGAGTAACGGTAGCAACAACTATAATAACTAATGTTTAAATAGCATCGACTGTGTTCCAGGCACTGTGCAAAGAGCTTTACAATTATTATCTCACTTATTCTTATCCCCATTTTTACAGCTGAAAAAACTGAAGCAGAGGTTGACTGACTTGCCCAGGGTTATACAGCTATTAAGTATCTAAGGCTGGATTTGAACTTAGGTCTTCATAACTCCAAGTCCAATACACTATCCGTTGCCTCGCTATAAAACATTATGTAAATATTTATTAATCGTCTTATTTGTTCTAATTTGTAGGTTAGCAAACAAAAAGTTTAATCCCAGGCTGGTTTTCTCATGACACCTATTAGCTTCTGTGCTGTTCTCTTCCAATACTCATCAGTACTTTCTCTAGGAGTCAAAACCATTTTAATATTATTCTGAACAAAGCATCATCCTGAGCAACACATAACTGGGAAGGTAAATGTAGATATAAAAAAACCATATCACCCATTTCAAATCCAAAGGTAAAGTGCATTTGAGATGGCTCAAAGTTTTGGTTTATCTACACTTTTTATTGCTTCCGCACCAGAATCGATCATCTGGGGGTGACTAAATTTCTGATTTGAGTTTTTAAAGGACAACCACCCCAGGAAAGCTGTTTAAAGCCTACAACCAGCCAGGCCACCTGTATGGCTGCTCCCCTTTGTCCCGATGTGGGCCTACCTCTTGGACCTCCTTGTCCCTTTCTTCTGTGCAGATCCCTTCATGATAGGACCGAGCTGGGGGGCTCTCTGTTGACATCAGGGACGTCCTCTCATTGCAGACTTCCTCTTCACTGTCTGAATTCATGAATGTGATCATGGTTCACTCCTTCGGAAGAGTCTGAAAGGAAAGGCACAAAGAAAATCCATAAAGGCTACTGGGGATTGCAAGAGGCTGCAAGATTACTTGCAGAGGGGAGCAGACAGGACCAGAAGGGGCTGGAAAAATGGTAGCGACCTCAGCTATAATAGAACAACCACATTTTAAATATCTGTAAGAGAAATGTCAAGTCACAAGACTCACGCAAAGGGCTAGTAAAGGATGCTGCCTATTATTCTGATGGGGTGCTAAAATTGTCTATATTAGTGTGCCTGGGGCCCAAGCACAGACCCCCAGAGAAGGGATGTCCTAACATACCAGCTGTATTCTAAGATGACTAAATAAAATAAGTTATTTCAGAGAAGCAAGAGAAAAGACACTCTGATATCCACTTTAATGAAAAAAGGAGTTGTTAGATAACACTAAGGTACACTCTTAACTGCTGACATCTGAATGGGGACATAGAATGCCCTCTTTTCTCACACCCACAACAGGGCCCTCAAATGATTCTCAAAGAAAGGTATTCTCTTTCTGCAAACCAGCCTGCAAGTCCTCCATCTAAGTAACTGGCTTTAGAACTCAGGTCCTCTGACTCCAAACTCAGCATCCTTTCCACAGTGCTTCACTTTCATTCTCAAGTATGGTCCTGGGAAAGGGAACAAGCATTTATTAAGTACCTACTATGTGCTAGACACTGAGCTGAGAACTTTATAAATATTATCTCACTTGATCAGCAAGCCCAAGACAGCTGATGGCTTACAGGGCGGTGGTTTCTCGTACTATGAAATTTTACATTGTAAAATAGTTATCCTTTGGTTTCTGGTATAAGTTAATTATTAAATTATTATCTTTCTCCCTAATGTCTAATCAAGAGCATCATTCTTGTATTCCTCCTATACCCCAGATCCTGAAGGACGGCTGAGGGATGGGTGACAATTGGCTCCATTCTGAAACAAAAGTCCATCTTTTTACTGATAACAACCCTTCCAGGAATGTTCTATGGCTATGAAATCCATGGAAATACACAGTGTCTTAAGAATTAAACTTGGGAGTCATTCTCAAATAATGACTTTTTTTTCCCAGTAACAAGAGGAAGCATGTAGGGGTAGGTGGGTCACCAAAAATGGATGAAGGAGACTACAGATTAAATAATAATAATGATAATAATAATAATAATAAATTGGGAACTACTGACCTAGGTAGGAATGAGCAACCTTCCACATGAATGCTGTTCCTTGGAAGAGTCAATGCAACACTCTTCCTCCTTCCATCACACTCTGAAACAGTATGTGTGAAAGGAGAGGTGGAAAAACATGGAACAAAGACTCGTGATTAAAGATAAAATGGGAAGGGAAATGAGAGAACCATCAACCAAAACAGGGTGAACAAGGGAATAAGAGCAGATAGAAATGAGTATCTTTTTGTCTGAATTTCCCTAGTTAGACCCCACCATCTTCAGCAAGAAGCCTTTCCTGAGCTCCCCAACTGTTCATGACTTCCCCTTCAAACTATCTTGTCTGTGTTTGTATTTATTCACTTGACATTGAAGCTGTATTTGTCTTTATTCATATATCTCATCTCCTCTATTAGTATGCAAGCTCCTTTGTGAATAGGACTGTTTCATTTTTTGTCCTCATATCCTCGGCATCTGGCACATCGATGATGCTTAATAAATACTTGTTGACTGACTGATAGTCAGCAATGGCTCACAAAACAAATTCTGGCTTGATGCCTTTGTCCTGTGGAGATTGGCCATCAGACTAAAACGGCAGACTTATTGAATGGCTTCCAAATGGGGGATATGTGCATGTGAGCTCTTGAAATGGTGGAATGTTTTCTTTTTTTCTAGGAATGGGTCTCCCAGCAACATCACCTATGTGCAAGACACTGTGCTATGTACTAGATGTCATCATCCCTTAACAACCCACAGGAGATTGGGAATGGGAGAAAGGATACTGGATTTGAAGACAGAAGCCCTACTATAGACTGTGTTACCATGGCCAAGTCAAATGTACCTCTCAGTCTTCAGGGGATTAGAACAGATGGCATCTAAAAGTTCTCCCTGGGTCTAAATCCTATGAGTCAAAGCATAGGGAAACCTCAAAATAATGTTGATGTGATCTTCTTTCCTGACCCACTCTACTTAAATTCAACAAAAAATATCACAAATTTTTCTCATTCCCCCGAACACAAATAAAATGCGTGCCCCAGTCCTTCCCCAAAATTATATACATACATGTATTCAAATTATATACATGCACATATACAATGCACATGTGTATATGTATATATAAATATAAGTATACATAGATATAGAAACTACAAATTATATATTATACACACATACACACACAACCTGGGCTTCTGATATGTTTCATGTCACAGCATAAAGAAAAATGGATTTGGAATAACAGAGGTCTTTGGTTCAAATGCAGCTGTGCTACTTACTATACTATACATCCCTGAGTGAATCATTTAAATCTCTCAGGGCTCAGAAATTACACAGGATAATATCTCTAAGGTCCTTTCCAGCTCTAAATTCTAAATTCCAGCTCTAAAATCCCATAACATGGGATTTTTCTGGTACCCTTTCACCTATGACTATTACAATGTAATACCATGAAAAGAATTAGAGCTGTAGGTAAGCAGAAAATACTACTAAATTAAAGACATTCATGGTCCTGGCTCTCCCATAGGCATATCAAACTCAACATGGCCCAACCTGTACTCATCTTTCTCTTTACACATGCCCCTCCTCCACATTTCTTTATTTCTCTTGAGGGTACCACCATCCTTCTAGTAACCCGTGTGTGTAATCCTTTATGTTTCCAGTCCCCGCCCCTCATCTATCCAATCAATTGCCATGTTTGGGAGATTTTAATTCCACAACATGTGTCTGTCCCCCTTTTCTCCTCTCACACAGTCACCTGAATTCAAGCCCCAATGCAACAACTCTCTCCCAGATCACTCTTGGAGCCAACTGAACTCCCTCCCGTTCTCTCTCTCTCTCTCACTCTCACATTCATCTACCACATGATTGCTAAAATGATCTTCCTGAAGCACGGGTCTGACCACATCCTATCACTTCTGAAAAACATTTCACATTACCCTACTGCCACTAGAATAAGTGCCAACTCAGCCTAGTAGTTAAGGCCCTTTATAAATTGGCTTTTACCTGCCATCAAAAGGTATCCTGCTGAGCCAACACCTGGTCCCCTCTGGAGAGAAAAGTGTAAAAGGTTCACTTGGGGACTCCAGGTCATGGAGAAAGGTAGCAGAACTGACTTCTCACTAGTTGGGTTAGCCAGGGAGAAAAGCCAGCACTGTGTAGATTCCCCAGGAAGAAAGCAAGGTAGCCCCTAATCCCCATAGGCCAGCAGCACATCCAAGCCCTGGGCAGAGGTCCTTGCCTAGCCTACCTAGCCACAGCAAACTATTGAAGGACAGACGGGAGGAAAATCACAGGATTAAGAGCTGGAAATTTTTTTATTTTTTTAAATTAATTTATTTTTAGTTTTCAACATTGACTTCCATAAGTTTTTGAGTTTTAAATTTTCTCCCCCTCCCTCCCCCCCGCCCCAAGATGGCATGCAATCTGATACGGACTCTACACATACATTCCTATTAAACATATTTTCACATTAGTCATGTTGTAAAGAAGAATTAGACCCAATAGGAGGAACCACAGGAAAGAGGAAACAAAACAAAACAGAAGAAAAAAAAGAGCAAATAGTATCTTTGATCTGCATTCAAACTCCATAGTTCTTTCTCTGGATGTGGATAGCATTTTCCATCATGAATCTTTTGGAACCGTCTTAGATCCATGTGTGCTGAGAAGAGCTAAGTCTATCAAAGTTTTGTACAAAGTCATTGCACAATGTGGTTGATACTGTGTACAACATTCTTCTCTCACTTCACTCAGCATCAGTCCATACAAGTCTTTCTAGGTTTTTCTGAAGTCTGCCTGCTCATCATTTCTTATAGTACAATATTACATTCATGTACCACAACTTGTTCAGCCATTCCCTAATTGATGGGCATCCCCTCAATTTCCAAGTCTTTGCCACCACAGAAAAGAGCTGCTATAAATATTTTTGTACATGTGGGACCTTTTCCCATTTGTATGATCTCTAGAAGTGGTATTGCTGGGTCAGTTTTATAGCCCTTAGGGCATAGTTCCAAATTGCTCTCCAGAATGGCTGGATCATTTCACAACTCCACCAACAATGCATTAGTGTTCCAATTTTCCCACATCTTCTCCAACATCTATCATTTTCTTGTTTTGTCATCTTGGCCAATCTGATAGGTGTGAGGTGGTACCTCAGAGTTGTTTTGATTTGCATTTCTCTAATCAACAGTGATTGAGAGCATTTTTTCATATGACTATAGATAGCTTTAATTTCTTCATCTGAAAACTGCCTGTTCATATCCTTTGACCATTTATCAATTGGGGAATGATTTGTACTCTTATAAATTTGACTTAGTTAAGAGCTGCAAAGGCTTAACAAGGGCAGGGACAAGTCTTTGTAACCCCAGCACCCATCACAGTGCCTGACACAGAGTAGGCATTGAATAAATGTTTGTGGATTGACTGACTAGAGATCAACTAAAGCAGCATTCTTTTACAGATTAAGACACTGAGGCCCAGTGAGAGATTATTTCCTTGAGAGTGGCAGAGATGAGACTAAATTGGCGGTGGAGTGGGTCCAATGCTCTTCCCACTGCCCAAGTACCTTGCTTTCCAAGGTATAGCTAAGTTTTCCACAGTGCCCAGAAGTCCTTAGAGAAAAAGTCACTCAGACAGTATACAATTTATAAACAACTCTGCCAAGCAACACCACAAGATGCTTGTCCACCCCAAGCTTTGCTGACGCACAGAAGTAATCCAGGTGGAATGGGGGAGGGAATTCTGTGGCTCCCAAACAGGTAAGGGTAAGGCTGTGCAACTGACACACCTGGTAGAGGTAAAGCGATACCTAAACAAGGAAATGAAGATTCCAACCAGCTCTTCCCTCCTCCCA